GGGTCGACGACAAATGAAGATTTAATTTTTTATGACTGAAAACCCCACACATTATTTTACTTTTAAAAAATGCCATTTATTTTGTCTGGGAATAATGATTTCATGAAGCATGTTCACCACCAACGATATATGTGTTTTCCTCAGGAAATGTATGATGTAAAAAAACAAAAGAAGAATCATAATAAAAAACAGCATAATATCATGCAGGGATGGTAACGAACATATATTCTGTTACGAAAAAGAATTGTTCTTCCTCTCATTTTTTCCCCCACATGCCCTGACACTTCTTTGGTCATGAGTGGATTTTGCTTTCTGAAGTCCATCAGTCCGTTACCATCTGGTCCAGTGTCAGTTGAAGTGGGTAAAATGAGGTTAATTTCAAACTGAGGCACAGTCGGCCATGGTTCATGATATTTTATTATAAGCCAGAGATGAGAGTCTGAGCTGTTCATTCACTCCAGTCGTCTCGCCTTCGTCCTGTTGACACCCGTCTCTTCAGATCATTGTTTATACTTGATGTTGGCTTCAACTGGAACGAGACACCAGAACATTAGAGTGTGCTCACACATACTGTGCAGTGGTTGTGTGGTTGATCATGATGACTTTATGATGTGCAAGGTGCTTGTGTACGTATCCTCTCTTACTGGCATAATCCTGCGGAGCCATGGGCCTGGACAGGACCTGTCTAAGAGCATCCAGCCACTCACTCTGCTCCATCTCCTGCTCGCACATGAAGACAAACTGTCGCTCGGGCGTCTCCACCATCACGCCCCACTTCCACTTGTTTCCACGAGCATGCTTCGGGACGCACTCCCTCACAGAGTAACCTTTGCTCTCTGTGCCGATGAAAATGACCCCCAACTCCTCTGCATCCTACATTAACAGTGATGAGAACACGAACAGTCAAGCAGAACGTCGGTCACAGATCTCGACAGCGATCGTTACAGTTAGATGGAGAAGAAGGTTTGTCCTCACCAGCTGGCCTCTGAAGTAGAACAATTTTCTGTTTTCAGAGTCCAAAATAAACCACCTCTTTTTGAACGACTCCTTCTGCTGTTGAAAACAGTATAAATTGACTTGTCATTTTCTAATGACAAGTGTGTGTGTGTGTGTGTGTGTGTGTCTGAACTTGTTTTCTAAAGTTGTGAAGTTTCTGGTCAGAGAAGAAAACATACCCATGGTCAGGGTGGGACTGGCAAATGTATTATGCCAAGGAGTGTCCTCACTAAGATAGATTGTCTGGAATGTGAGTGTGTGTGTGTATGTGTGTGTGAGAGGAACAGAATCACACATTCACATGCACGTCATCGACAAACTGTTATAAACAAGTGCCAAGCTCACCACCTTAATCAAAGTGGAGTGCTGACAAACGAATATTTAAAGAATAAATAAACAAACAAGTTTAATGTAACTGTACATGTATTTTTTTGTAACCTACTAGCGGCCCCGTCTTTTCCATGTATCCCTCTTTGAGGTATTTTCTTGTTATCTTCGGTATCAGCTGACAAAGAGATGTAAAGGAAAAACATGAAAAAAAAGAGGCAAGTTCCTGTTTTCATTGTGGTCGACTAGTACAAAGAAAATGAAAGAAAAATCATTACAATGGCGATTGAATAAAAAGTATTTAGATTGCATTTAAAGAGCATGGACATCCAGGATCTGCTGAAAGACAACTATGACAAAACTATGACAAAACTTTGGAAAAGGTCTGAGTCTTACTTCTTCATCGCTTCCAGTCGGATATGCTGTTTTCAGATATGCATAGCGAGCAGCACGAATGGCGTTGTACCATGCAACTATTTCCTAAAAGCAAAAGAATAGTGTTTCCCACAGTATGACATATGCTTTAAGACCTGCTAGCTACTGTCATGTATACCTCAGGACTGTCATGATAGACGTAGAGGTTCCTGATGTGATCGGCGTCTTGGTAGGTGAGCTGCAGCCCGTGAGGATGACCGATCTTCTCCGGCTGAAAAGTGGCATTCAGGTCCTTGATGGAGATCACAGCTTTAGGGCCTTTGGACTCCTAGATCACAAATATTCAGACAAACAGATCATTCATTTCATTGTTTGTTTGTTTGTTTGTCACACGGTGCCGTTCAACTGTGTCTGAGCTGCAGGGAACTCACATTTTCCTTGTTGTAGTAAGTCAGTGTGAATTCTCTCTCTGACAGCACAAACTTCCTCTTCAGAAACTGTGTGTTCTCTTTTCCTTTCTTCCACAGCCACCCTTCATAGAAACCTGGTATATGTCCAGCAACTCTGAGTCACAGGCACTTCAGTGCAAACTCACTCAAAATTCACATATTCAGTCATTTTGTATAGAGTGATAACCCCTCACACATCATTATACAGGTTTATCTCCACAGTCGTTCATACGAGGAACCACATTGTTCATATTTTTTAACCAAGCAAACTGATAAAGATTTATGATCCGCAGTAGACACGTGTTAAAAAAACAAAACAGTGAATACATCACCTGTTGTATATGAAATTGGTGGATACTTCATTTCACCTGTGAATTCCAACCTTTCGTATTTGGCACGGATCCACTGCTCTCTCAGGACACTGCAGTTCAAGAGCAAACATGAAAATATTGCAAGATGAGGAGAAACACACATTAAGGTTTGATCTCACAGCAGAAACTAGATATCCAAACATATTCTAGATCTACAGTCAGATGTCTTGTCTATTTCCTTGTGGGATTGCCCCATCAGCTGTCTGTGACTGGACATTACGTAATCACAGTTTTCTGAATAATTTTAACATCCTGGAAAATTACTTACACAGAGTCATTTGCCCTGGGCCGATAGTAGTACGAGGGAACAGCTTTCTCATACAAGGCCTGGGCGCTGGCATTGCCGTTGGATTTCATGAACTTTCCAGGTCCCAAGAAGACACAAATACACATTACACATCTCCGGTTCATCCTATTACCTGAAGAACTGCTGTGTTGTTATCGCAGTAATAACAGAGAGGAAAAAGCAGCCTGTATACCTTCACCAGCTCATCCTCCCAGAAGTCCAGCTTGATGGATTTCACTTGGCTGGACAGGCTGCGGTGGACACCAGAGCAGTTAAGACACACAAACACACCCAGCTTGTAGGACGCCCAGTCTGGATCTGAGGTGTGCAGAAGATGAGGGATTCAAATTGAGTGGGGGAAAGTAATCAAGTGTATTTACTGCACTACTGTACTTATGTGCAGGTGCATTCTACTTAATACAGTACTTTGTTTGTCAGAGTCCAAATCTTTTGGGTTTGTGATTCTGTATGAAAAAGTACTTCACTTGGTCACACATTAATTTATTTTTTTTTCAAATTCAAGTGGGTAATTGTGATAATTTAACTTGTTAAGTTCAAGTTCAAGTATTATTTGCAAATGCAGTACATTTTGTAAGTTGGTCCAACAATGTTATTTTTTCGATGTAGGCTTTATTTTGCTCTAAACTTCTAAAAGGACCTAAGAGGAAAATCTATCTTATATTTCAGCTGTCCAAAAAATATATATAATATACAGTATATGTATATTACCATATTAACAGTATGAATACTTAAGTTAAAGGGACCCAATCTGAGTATTTGTACTTTTAATACCATGGAAATATTTAGCTAGGGCTTTTATTAACAGAATTTAGAGCAGGGCCAGTGGGCCAACTAGGAAAGTCACTGGAGGCTGAATATTTGTCAGCTAACAGCAACAAATACTCTGACAGTGGTAGTGGATATAATCCTACATTAAATAAACTAATGACCCAAAACCCATAATAATCTGGTATCATTATAAATTGATTCCAGCAGCAGCCAGTCCATACATGGAAGTGGGAAAGCTGTAAGGTCTAATACAGGTCTGATACAGAAGTGAACAGTTAGCTGACACTGTTCTCACCTGATTCGCCGCAGTCTGCACACATGCTGTTGTCCGGCAGCTTCAGCAGCTCCAGTAAGATCTTTTTGTTCCACTCTCTGTTTGCCATGTTGCTACAAATCCAGGATTTCTTCTCACACAGTGATAAATCTCTCCGTCCAAACTGAGCATGGTTGTCACAAAGCTTCACAGAAAAAAAAACATAGTCAAGAGGAAAAGTGGAACTTGCCACAGAGACGTTTTGGATGTTACAACACACAGTTGACCTCCCTTCTCCTTCCTCCTCTGGAGCTGCACTGACAGAAACAGAAAGTTGAGCTTCAATCAGACGTCGTTCTTCTTTTTCTATGAATCACCTTATTCATGCTCTGAATGCTCTTTCAACCTGATCCATGAGATAAGAAAAGTATCCTGAAAAACCGGTCCAGCCACTGTTAGCTTACCAGAATTGATAACTATACAGACAATGTATGCAAATTCATGTCGATGGACAATGTGACTTACTGAAAATGAATTATGAGGCCCGTCATTTTTTCTGTTGTGATAATCCTTTATTTGATCACAACTAAAACCCATTGTGTTTGTGTACAGAGTTAAAACTGAAAAAAATTAAAAACAAACAAAGAACTGAGTGTGATGTGTGGAAGTGTGAAATAATCTTGTGTAAAAAAAAAAAAGCTGCTTTTCATGAATGTGAACAGAAACAAAATCCTAAGTGCATCAACAGTACTTTGTGTGGAGACTATTTATACACAGCCTTTAAAAATCCAGAGGAAATTTCTATTTTACATGTTAATCTGTTACAAATATTAACACTTCAGACTTGCTCCTCAAAAGTAATTTCTACTTGATAAAAAAACACTTTGCAAAGTGCAAAGCATATTTATAAATGAGGCTACAAATTACTACTGTACAAAAAACCATCACACACAATCCAGCACCACGTAATATTACAAAAAATCATGAAGTAGTAATATTTCATATATTCTTCAAAATCACCAATATCACTTTAGTTGTGCACTTGAATTCAGTGATTCAGTCATTTCCATCTTAGAGGAAACTGTGTGGAAACGTCACCAGACAGTGTTTAGTGTACACACACGTCTGACCACCTCATTTTTCTCCGAAGTAGGGAGCATGAAACAAAAGGCAACACTGATTAAAGTTGCCAAAGTGTCCGTCCCTGTGCTCCTGATGCCGCCACACTTTCTGTAAACTCATTCCGTGATACAGTCGGAGAGCCACAACCTATGGACCATAACAGCGAGTGTCTATGATCTCAAGGTCTTCTCAGTGGTTCAGGGGAAGTCTTCAGCAAGGTGCCGTAATGTGGTTTTGTCAAGACCAAGGTGGATTGCATCGAGGTAGTGTAGAAACCTGGAGGGATGAAAAAAGAGAAACAGCTCAGAGCTTTGATTCTGTGGATGCATACACTGTCTTACATAAAGTCGCACATAACACATTTATTTGTAGCCTGTGGGTTATTCCCTTGGTGTCAAAACAAAACCTCCATCATCTTATGTGTCTGTTGTTTACAAATGTTGAGGGCCGCGTCATAGTTCCCAAGTTTCTGGCACTGCAGATTAAAAATGCAAACCTGAAGTTTCACCAAAATTCTCCTTTTAAGAGGCTCGAAAACTTTAGTGTGAACACCAGGTGTAAATATATCAAAAGTGAGGTTCTTAAACTAAATCATGTAAATGTGGCTTAGAGTAATAGGATATCAATTTTGGAGACATAAATCATCCAAGCTTTTCATGTGTTTATCTTCTGTGCACTGTTTAGTTCATCCAGGGCACGTTTCCATTTCACCAATTCTCACCTCCGTTTAACTTTGCCCTTCTCCTTCAGCTGCTCCGATCTGCAGATGGTGCGTAGCACTGGCAAGTATTCCAGAGCAGCCGCTGGTCTGTTTCCCAGAGCACCAACCACTCCTTTAAGCACCAGACCCTCCATCACTTCTCTCCTCAGCTGGACCAGCCTGGAACAGATTAATACATGTTGACTTTCTTTGAACTGGCTCAGGATTCCCCTTATTTTGGGTAAAAGAAGGTTTACATATTAAAGTTTAATGGAGGCTTAACATTAAAGAGACTCACTGTGGTTGGCAGGGGCCCTCCTGAGAGAAGCTGTAACCTTCACGATGAGGGGCCACAGGGAGGGTGAGTTCTCCCACAGCCTCATGTCCAAGCTCTCCTTCCAGCTGTTGGGCTTTGTCCCAGGCCTCTGCTGCTGAACACTGACACCTGTGGAAGCTCAGCGCCTCCACGGCAGCCTGGATCTCCAAGACACGCTCTCCCGTCTCCCAGCTCTCTCTGTCAGTCTCGACCCTCGACTCATCCGTCATCCCGTCTTTAACCACTGCAACGACTGGTGTCATTCTTCTGTAAATGTCTCCTCCTTCTGGGTGGACATGCAAGGAGGAGTCCAAGTAGGACATGTTGTCTAAAAAGTCAGCTATTGATGCTAGACACTGTGAGACTGGGAGACTTTTCATGCGCTCTTCAGGAGTCAGCTGCTTCCTTTTTACCATCTCTGAAACTAACCTCTCTTTAACTACCTCCTTTGCTTGAGGATCACCCTGCGGCTTGGACAATGACAGAAAACTGTCTTCTGAGTCCGAGTCCGAGTTCAGTCCATCTTGGCCGGGCACACAGTGCCTCTTCTTGTTCTTCTTCATTCTGTTAGAAACTTTAATTGGACTGCCATCGTCCGAGCAATCACCAGACCCTGCCGCCTGCAGTAACCTGGGATGAGATAGCAGCGTGTCGGAAGGCAGGCAGGCAGATGGCTTCTTTTCGGGATTAACAGAAGGATGGTCTTGTGATTCAGAAACAGATTTCTCTGGCTTGCGGATTGGTGCAGTCAACTGTGTGAGTGGTAGAGGTAAGAGTGTCTCCATGTTGGAATAAAGTAGATCCACTCCTCGTCGCCTGCAGTCTATCAGCAGCTCCCAGCAGACTGCCTCCTTCAGACTCTGGCTCTGTTGACAGCAGATACCTGATTAATATCTTATATCAAGTACAATATGAATCAACAATGAATTATGACCATATTAAAGACACCTAATAGAAGAGTTCACCTTGAGCAGCTCCCACATGTCTCTCCCAGGTTCAATATTCAGCAGACCCAGTCTGCTCTCAGTGCAGCCAGTGTCACAGGGAGGGAGGGCGGCTGGGACAGACGGTTCTGTTGCCTCTCCTTCCGTCTCCGGCTTCAGTCCAGCTTCGAAAGTGATTGAGAAATGCAAAAATTAAAAAAAAAAGTAGTGCAACACCTTGTTTTAAAATACAAAATAAGACATTGAAAAAAACTATACAGTAAAAAAAAAAACAACTATGTAAAATAGTAAATATGTCATCACTTTCGTCTCTGATCTTCAGCATATTCAATTTGATATAAAAAAAAATCTCAGTCTCAGGCTAAATCTGAGTATGATATAGATATCGAAATATGTCACCATGTGAGAGATACAGTCAGTTAAACACTGTTAAAATGTTATGCATATGGAATATTGATTTCCTCATGATCACCTATTGCAGTTTCGGGACAAGATGAAATAAAGTCATTAATAACTGTCTCCAGGTGAATGCATTTAAATCTATATTTGAAGTAGTATTTACAAAGCAAAACCAGGCTAAAGAGAATATTATCGTCAACATGTTTCCAGCTCATCTGCTCACCATTGTTGTCAGTGTGCGTCAGTGACCTGGTTACGTTGCGGCCCCCTGCACTGCGAGTCCAGAACTGCAGCTGCAGTAAACTCTGCCTGATGTCACAGCCATTGAGCCTGAGCAGAGTGCTGATGTTTGACAGGTCTGTTCTCATGTCTTCAGCCAGACACAACAGCTGCAGGTAGCTGCTCACATTTAACTGTACCAGAGAGAGAGAGAGAGGAGGACAGCTGAAAAATCAGACTGAAACTTTTTATCATCACAAATACAAGCGACGCCATAGAACCACACAGTGAAACTAAGAGTGGAATTTAAATTACATGTTTGTCCTTTACTCACCAGTGACGGTGTTTTAAAGTGGATCTCTTCAAAGAAGCTATCGAACATGGTGCTGAAAGCAGGATCTAGGGAGAATAAATAAAACTTGATTGAAACTCAAAAACTGGACAACACACGGTAAAACACAGTCTTTGTCCGTGCTCCTGTTACTCACCACTGGTAGTGAGGATGACTGGCCTCTTGGTGGTGGTCATGAATGTCTTGATGGCAGCTAGAAACCCAGAGTCTTCATCAAAAATAACATCCACCTCTTCAAACAGGATGAGCGAGGTGGCCGTCTTCTTGCTCTGTTCTTCACTGTTGTCTTTAGTGGTCGTAGCTGCTGGCGATTTCACTGTGAGGTCTTTATGCTTATTGGCAACCTCATTACTTGTTTTCCCGACTTTCTTGGAAGCAGCTACATGAAAAGATGCAGGGGAGAAAAAAACACAATGGCATTTACTTACTATTACAGTTCTGAAATGTTCCCGAAAGGCATCATCATAATAAAATAAAACATTTGAGACAATGCAAGTGTATTTACCTGTTTGTTCATTCTTCTTTACGTTGAGTGGCTCCTTGTTGTTGGGTCGACCCATTTTGAAGAAGTTGGCCAAAGAGGTGGGAGCCAGAGCACCTTTTTTGGCGCCTCTTGGCGACTGGGGATGTTTCCTGGGAGAGGAAACCACCCTGCGAGGAGAGTTAATCTTTCCTGAAGGATGAGGAAGGAAAAAATACGTTTTTAAATGTTCAGCTTGTAAAATTCTGCATTTACAGTATTAGATCTTATGATCTGACAATTTATTGGAAACAGTAATACAACTGTCAGCTGTGTACTTACTAGGCGAGGATCCAGGCCTGCCGGCGCTGCTGCTTGAGCCGTAGCTGTTGAAGTAGGTGGGCTTGTGGGCGTTGACCCCCTGGCTGTCCACCTGGTGCGATTGGGTGGCTTCCCTCAGCTGGGACAGAATAAGACGGCCGCTCCGCTGAGAAGAAGCGTTCACCTCAAATACCTTGAGAGACCAGAGTGAGGTTGGCAGTTTATTCAACGACCCACATAACAAATGTGTTGCTTTGAAACACTTGAGAGGCGTTTATACCTTGAAGCCCAGCTCCTGGGCACAAGCATAGACGGCAGCAGTCTTTCCTACTCCAGTGGGTCCTGTGATCAACATTGAATTACACAA